GTGCCCCACACTGTGTTAACCCCTATAAAAAGATTATTTCATTTACTCTTTACAATAACTTTACAAGATGGGCATTATTATAATCTCCATTTCATAGATGCAGAAACTGAGGTTTAGAGAGAGTAATTTATTCAGAGTTATACCACCGATAAGTGGAGGAGTTGGTTTGTTCAAATCAGGATTCAAACAAGATCCACACATTGCACTTGGCTGATATATTTCTTAAGTCTCTCTTAATCTGTAGGGGTCTCCTCACTTTTTTATTGTTTTAGTACTTTTATAATAATTTCAAAGCTAGTTTATTCGTTTACCCTTGGAAAAAGTCCAGCTGTCTCCATGTGCTGCCCTCTCCCACCACTCCCCGACACTCTCAGAACCATATTAAGTATCAGAAGACCTTTGAATACAACACAGAATCAAAGAGAGGGAGATCTTCTGCTGATACTTATATCAAAGAACTGTCTTTATCCGGTGCAGAGCTATTTTATCTATGTCAGGAGCTCAGTGTGTGTGTGGGTGGGAGAGGTCTTCAATAACAAGATTCTAAACAATTTTTAGAAAGAATAGCCTCCCAAATCCTATTTCTGGTGAAACTCTCCATGGCTCTGTTTGTCTTTGTCTCCTGCCTCCCGAGGACCTTACTTCTCTGCTGGAGAACACGAGGCTAACGCCCATGTGCACAGGTTCTCTGCACATGTTCCAGGGAAGACCAGAGCAGATGGAAATCGAAAGGAGAGGCGCAGCACGTGAATCTCTGCCCGATTTCCTTTGGGTTTTATTATGCTTTTGATCTCATGACAGTTTAGGGTATGAACAAGTATTAAGGGGTTCTCAGGTTTTAGGGTGCTTAAGACTTGCATGGGGAGTTTGTAAAGAATGAAATTTTCTGGGACCCAATCTCAGAGCACTTGCTTCAGTGGCCTTGTTTTTAAGTCAGACCACAGATTTGGGGGTGGGAGGGAGAATGAGGGATATGAACCACTGTGAGAAAAACACTGGCCTGATGGTTTAATGTAAATAAATTGTGTGCTCGGTTCCTTCCAAAGTTTAAAGTGATTACCTTTGCTGCTATATAATGCCTTTGATCTTTATATCGACTGAAGCATAGCTCTTGAATGTGACTGTAGAGCAAGAGTGTTCGGCTTGAAATCATTGCTATCTTTGAGCACCTGTCATGAGCAGAGGAACCCTAACCGTAACTGTTTACAGAGAGAAAGTACAAATAGCTGAGTTGTTAAAATCTACCTCAAGACTCCCAACCACATATCCCAAGGTGCTGACAGAAAAATCTGACTTGGTAGATTGGGTGGGCTGAAATGTCAACCAGGGCTTCCTTCTAGGATGGGGTCCTTGTTTCCATCGTGCATTTGGCAGGCTGTGCCTCTCTAGGTTACTCGAGTAACAGAGCTGGGTTTTCTCCTTCAGGTAACCTGTGCCGTTGCACTGGATACAGGCCCATAATTGACACGTGCAAGACTTTCTGTAAGGTAAGTAGACAGGAACGCGTTATTGAGTCTATTTTCCCCATGAAACAGAACAGTGGGGGTCGTCAGGTGTGATGGGGGAGCAGCCTTTGTTACTAGTACAGGGCTGCTGCTTCTCTCAAGGTCTGTAATCTTATTTCATCTTGGGCATTGCGCCTACTCTCGCTCATCGGGCTTGTCCCAGCAGGCACATAATGAGCCCCTAAGCGCTTTGATATGGGCTTGTTCCAAGAGGTGGTTCCCGATCTGTTTGTCGGGTCGGGTGCCTGCCCCGGTGCTCGTGCAGCCCTCTGTGCGTGCCCTGTCACAGCGCTGGTCACACTGTGCTGTAACTGCCCATTTGCTCCCCCATGTCTTCAGCAGCCGGCGGGCTGCTGGACAGCAGAGGCTGTGCATCTCCAGGGCTGGTCACCATGCACCGATTGAGTAGCCACTCAGTCAGTATTTGTTGAATGAATAAATGAACTAATAACCTTGAAATGTGGGACATAAGATTGCCCTTTGGAAGTTAAATTATGAAATCAGTACATCATAATTCAGAACCGAGAGATAATAATACTTTTTAATATTATTAATAAAATATTAAATATTATTCATATTAAGAACCAACTATTGTTAATATTTATTGCTATGTGCCTGGCTTTGTTATAAAATCTTTGCATGTTTTAATAATTTAATAATTATTTAATAATCAATGTTATTCAAAATTTCTTATAAGCTCAGACTTTTTTATTAGATGTTAGTTTCGTTATGTTTAAGTACACACGGCTCCCTTCGTAACATTTAACAGTATTGATTCTGTATTGTTTCAGCAGATAGTCGCCTGTTTAATTTAATACTTATTAGAGGGGACTCTGCTTCCTGCCTGGGGTTAGCATTCCAACTCCATCATCAGTAACTCACCCCAGAATGCCAGCTCCCTCCTAAGGCTGGGCCAGATGCCTTGCTGTAGGTGAGGGCAGGTGCCAGCCTTGAATCAAGACTTAGGCCTGGGCCGGCCCTGTGGCTTGGTGTTTAAGTGCGCGCGCTGCGATGCTGGTGGCCCGGGTTCGCATCCCAGGTGCGCATCGAGGCACCACTTCTCCGTTCATCCTGAGGCCGAGTCCCACATACAGCAACTAGAAGGATGTGCAGCTACGACACACAACTATCCACTGGGGCTTTGGGGGGAAAAATAAAATAAATAAAATCTTTAAAAAAAAAAAAAAAGACTTAGGCCAGGGAGGAGTGACATTGGCAAAATGGTGAAATAGGAGTTTTCTACCATCTTCCCCCCAAAGAATGCCAATTTTGACCATCACCCATGAAGGAGAGTCCCTTTATGGAAATCCAGGAGTCCAGCAGAGAAGTTTCAGCATGCCACTGGAGCCAAAAAATCCAAGATTGTACACATTGAAGAGAGTAGAAGAACAGTTTCGGTTTATCTGTGTCATCCCTCCCCCAAGGTGCACAGCTTGGTGCCCAGAGAGACCTTCTCCACCCACGATTTCTTCCACAAGGGAAGTGAGAGTGTGTGAGTGAGTACCCAGCTACCCCGGCTGTGTGGGGCACTGCCAAAGAGGCCCACTTCCTTCTCACCGCATTCAGAACACCGAGGAGTGCTACACGACTAGGGGGCAGCGAGGGACTGGGAGAAGAGCAGCCTGGGCTCTTAGAGGACATCAGAGGGCCCAAGATCCTACTAACCATGAGCTCAAGAAAAATCAATAAGACAATTCGTGAACTAAATGAGAAGTTTAACAGAGAGATAGAAATAATAAAAAAGAACCAAACGGAAAGTCTGGAGATGACGTATACAGCTAATGAAATGAAGAACAAGGCAAGGATGCTCATTCTTGCCACTTCTATTCAACATAATATTGGAAGTCCTAGCCAAGTAATTAGGCAAGAAAAAGAAATAAAAGATATCCAAATGGGAAAGGAAGAAGTAAAATTGTCTCTATTTGCAGATGACATGATCTTATATATGGAAAACCCTAAAGACACCACCAGAAAAATTGTTAGAACTAATTAACAAATTCAGTAAAGTTGCAGGATATAAAACGAACATGCAAAAGTCCATTGTGTTTCTATACACTAACAATAAACTGTTGGAAAGAGAAATTAAGAAAACAATCCCATTTAGAATAGCATCAAAAACAATAAAATGCTTACGAACAAATTTAACCAAGGAGGTGAAAGACCTGTACACTGAAAACTACAGGAGATTGATGAAAGAAATTGAGGAAGACACAACTAAATGGAAAGATATCCCATGTTAATGGATTGGAAGAATTAATATTGTTAAAATGTGGAAACTACCGAAAGTGATCTACAGATTCAATGCAGTCCCTAACAAAATTTCATCAGCATTTCTCACAGAAATAGAAAAAGCAATCCTGAAATTCATATGGAACCAAAAAGACCCCCAATAGCCAAAGCAATCTTGAGGAAGAACAAAGCTAGAGGCATCGCACTTCCTAGTTTCAATGTACATTACAAAGCTATAGTAATCAGAACTGTGGCACTGGTGTAAAAACAGACCCATAGACCAATGGAACAGAACAGAGAGCCCATATATAAACCCACACATATGCAGTCGACTAATATTTGACAAAGGAGCCAAGAACACACAGTGAGGAAACAATAGTCTCTTCAATAAATGGTTTTTGGAAAACTGAATATGCACATGCAAAAGAATGAAATTGGACCATTATCTTATACCACTCACAAAAATGAACTCAAGATGGATTAAAGACTTAAATGTAAGATCTGAGATTATAAAACTCCTAAAACAAAGCACAGGGAAAGAACTTCTTGACATCAGTCTTGGCGATGATTTTTTTTGGGTATGACAAACAGCACAAGCAACAAAAGGAAAAATAAACAAGTGGGACAAAATCAAACTAAAGAGCTTCTGCTCAGCAAAGGAAGCCATCAGCACAATGAAAAGTCAATCTACGGAACAGGAGAAAATATTTTCAAACAACGTATCTGATAAGGGGTTAATATCCAATTATATAAGGAACTCATGCATCTCAACAGCAAAAGCACAAGTAAATTGATTAAAAAATGGGCAAAGGGGGGCTGGCCCCGTGGCTTAGCGGTTAAGTGCACGCGCTCCGCTGCTGGTGGCCCGGGTTCGGATCCCGGGTGCGCGCCGACGCCCTGCTTCTCTGGCCATGCTGAGGCTGCGTCCCACATACAGCAAGTGGAAGGATGTGCGGCTATGACATGTAGCTATCTTCTGGGGCTTTGGGGGGGTGGGGAATAAATAAATAAATAAATAATTATAAAAAAAAAATGGGCAAAGAGGTCGATCCGATGGCGTAGTGGGCGAGTTTGTGTGCTCTGCTTCCGTAGCCCGGGGTTCGCAGGTTCGGATCCCGGGTGTGGACCTACGCACTGCTTGTCAAGCCATGCTATGGCAGGCGCCCACATATAAAGTAGAGGAAGATGGCCATGGATGTTAGCCCAGGGCCAATTTTCCTCAGCAAAAGAGGAGGATTGGCAACAGATGTTAGCTCAGGGCTAATCTTCCTCACCAAAAAATAAAGAAAAAGAAAATGAGCAAAGAATCTGAATAGACATTTTCCAAAGAAGACATACAAATGCTCAACAGGTACATGGAAAGGTGCTCAACATCACTAATCGTCAGAGAAATCAAAACCACAATGAGATACCACCTTAGATCTGTTAGAATGGCTATTAGAAAAACAAGTGTTGGCCAGGATATGGAGAAAAGGTTACCCTCATGCACTGTTGGTGGGAATGTAAAATGGTGCAGCCTCTATGGAAAACAGTATGGAGGTTCCTCAAAAAGTTAAAAATAGAACCACCATAGGATCCAGCAATCCCACTTCTGGGTATATATCTGATGGAAATGACATCAGGATCTCAAAGAGAGATCTTCATTGCAGCGTTATTCCCAATAGCCAAGATATGGAAATAACTTAAGTGTCCATGGACGGATGAGTGGATTAAGACGTGTGTGTACATAGATATATATATACACACATATATATAAAGATGTGTATATATATATTTATGTGTGTATATTTTTCAGCCATGAGAATGTGGGAAATCCTGCCATTTGTAACAACATAGATGAATCTAGAGGACGTTATCCTAAGTGAAATTTGCCAGATAGAGAAAGACAAATACTGTATGATCTCACTTATATGTGGAATGGAAAAAAGAAAAAAAAAAAGTTGAACTTATAAAAACAGAGGATATAAATGGAGGTTACCAGGGACTGGGGCCTGGGGGCTGGGGGTAATGAGGAGATGCTGGTCCAGGGGTACAAACCTTCAGTTATAAGATGAATAGGCTCTGGGGATCTAATTTACAGCACGGTGATGGTGACTATAGTTAATAATACTGTGTTGTGTAGTTGAAGTTTGCTAAGAGAGTAGACCTTAAGTGTTCTCACCATACACACCCACACAAATGGTAACTATGTGAGGTGATGGATGTGTTAATTAACCTGATTATGGTAATCACTTAACAAAATATACATGTACCAAATACGTTGTACACTTGAAATATATACAATTTTATTTGTCAATTATACCTCAACAAAGCTGAAAAAATACTTGGTAGAATCAGCAATAAATTCTGGGTTATTTGTTTTTTTACCCTCTAGACTTCCGGCTGCTGTCAGAGGAAAGAAAATGGGGTCTGCTGTTTGGATCAAGGAGTAAATGGAGTACCAGGATTCGAGGAAGAGAACGAGGTCAGTGAAATGTAAGGTTTTTATGAGGCTTTCTCAGGACATGAGCACAGACCAGCTGACTTCTAGGAAGAGAAAGTGGCTGCCCAAGTTGACGAATGTGAGGTGCGCCAACATGTCCCCTTCCCATTCTCACCCACCTCCATCAAAGGAAAATCTGTCCTAACAACTTCATCCTTCGTTCGAGGTCAAGTACAGCTATCTATAGGAGAGAAAACACATTGATCCCTTCCTGTCTCTTAGTTTTTAAAAAAAGCCCTTTTCAAGTCTTTCTTCAAGGGCCAGAAGCAAAGTGGAGATGGTAGGGAAATGCAAGAGCAGGCAGAGGGAGTCGTGATAGGAGAGGTGGCTGTTCAGGGAAACATTCTGGTTCTCAGCGGTGTCTGGTGCTGCTGCTGCCTCCTCTGCTTTCCCAGACTGCAGAGAGGAGTACAGGGGACTGAGGGCTGTGGAGGCCCATTGACGTCGGCACTGAGCTGCCAGTGACCAGGTCCGTGTTAGAGCCCTTGACCTAGAATCCAGGGGTTGTTTGTGGCTGGATGGCTGCCTTTTTGTCTGTCTGCTGTATGTCTGTCTTCTTCTGACATTCCACAAAGGATTTAAAGTAGTTAGAGTTGCCTGATAACAATAACTCCTGGTTCTTTCTCTTTTTAAGACAAGTCCAAACCTCTTCCCAGAGGAGGAGTTTCTGCCATTGGATCCAACTCAGGAACTGATATTTCCTCCAGAGCTAATGGTAAGGAAAGCTGAGCTCGTCCTGGAGGAACTCATGGTGAAATGCCAGGAAGGGTATTTACCTATGGATCCTCCCAAAGCTGACGGGCAAGTAGGTAATATCCATCTGCCATCCGTGGCCCAAGTTCTAGAGGATGGGACCGAGGCGGAGATGGGGGAATGAGGGTGGAGTCACCACGTGGGGACAGTTGACTGTAAGAAGCAGCAGATAGTATCTGTAAAAGATGTCATGATGACACCACAGCATTTGTAGCTGTAGACATGTTTTCTACTTCCACTTTTGCTGAAGTTTATTCTTCCACAGAGTGATTTGACAAAATTAAACATGTTAAAATATTTTTAAACATTGAAATGAGTTCCTTTGAGATATAAAAACACCAAAGGGAGACGCATGAAAACAGTCTCCAGAAGGAGGCAATTGTTGTCATACTTTGAATTTGAACTCTGATTCCGAGTAAAGCTCTACTTTTTGGTCACTTCTATTTTATTTTTTTTATAAGATCTCCATTTCTTTTCTCTGTTCCCATGAAGATAGAGCAGAAACAGGTGGCAATGTTGTCACGAGATTATCTTGAATCCCTCTTGCTTTTTCAATAGATAATGGCTGAGAAACAACCACAAATGACCAGGGTTTTTAGTGGAGATAGAATGACATGGATTTCTCCAGTGACCCTGAAGGAACTTCTGGAAGCTAAAGTCAAGTATCCCCAGGTCCCTGTTGTCATGGGGAACACCTCTGTGGGTATGTGGAACCCCAGGGACCTCTTATGAGGAAACTGAGGAAAAGGCCTTTGGGGGAAAGAACCTCACATATGCATGTTCTTAGGAAAAGCAGTCAGAAATAGCACTGTCAACTGTTTAGACTTGACTTCCTCAAGACACTGACATTGCTCAGGAGACTTTCACAGCTCCCATTACATGAGTGAATTCCTGTTGCCCCTAATCAGAGCAGTGTGCAGAGTGACCCCAGGAGGCTGCTCCATCACAGCTCAGAAACAGCAGTTCCAGTGACAGCTGTCCTGGTTTCCGTGTGGAGACGGAGCTGGGCTCATGATTGAAACTGCTCTTTGTTTCCTCTCTTGGTGAGGGTGTCTCAATAGGCATGACACGATTTTCCTAAGCTGCAGTTATAAGATCTTTGTGTTGTGTTTGTTGTAAACTCAGTTTGACGCCTACTTCTTTGAGGAGTCTTCTAGAGTCTTTCCAAAGAGAATTTGAGTAAGCCACAAGTTGTCTTGGACTTGTCAGGCAAGTTGTAAAGCTGACAAGTCCAAAGAGTCCCCTAAGGTTAGTGAAAGTCCACCTGCTCATTTTCTGTGTGTGTGATTGGGCAACGAACAGACCAATAGAAAGATATGTAATTTTTATATGTTTAAAGATATCACTTTTAATCACAATTTCAAATTTTATTTTTTTCTAATCCTTTAGGGCCTGACATGAAATTTAAAGGTGTCTTTCACCCAGTTATAATTTCTCCTGATAGAATTGAAGAACTGAGTGTTGTAAACTATGCAGATAATGGTGAGTTCTCGTGGTCCCTGTTTTCTTAGTTAAAATGTGTTAATCAATTTATTTCCTTTGCCCAGCAGACAAGCAGAAGAAGAATTATTCCTAATTGTAATATACAGAGAGATTCTCTTCTTATAAGAATGAGAACATTCTGGAGGAGGCTCAGGGGAGAATTCTCTAGAGTTATATGAGTTACTAATCATCTGAATAGTCTAGGATTTTAGTGAAGAACATTTTATGTCTGCCCTATCAGAGAAATATAACAACTAGTCAATGAAGGGTACTGTGCTGAGTGCTGGATAGAAGATACAGAGGAGTGGAACACAGTCTTTGTTCTCCAGAAGCACAGTAGTAAGCAAAGCAAGTTTACGTATTAAGCAGCTTCCAGACTGGCTTGTCCATTCCCACAAAGGAAACTGATTTAATGGCAATGACGAGAAGTAAGATAAATGTGGGTGTGGAGTCTGGCTCTGGAGTCTAATTCTTGACTATGTCATGTATTAGCTGTAAGTACTTAGACAAGTTCTGAATTTCAGTTTCTTCATCTGCAAAATGGGGCAATTATTTCAAACGTTTCTTAGGATTCAGGGAGATTCTGTGAAGCATTGAGCATAGTGCTTGAACAGTGACTGCTCAAAAAATTTAGCCTCCATCACCTCCATCACTGTCACCACCACTACCATCACCTCCACTACCACCAGTATCACCATTACCACCATCACCATCGCCACTGCCTCCATCAATGCCACTACCTCCATTGCCATCACCACTACCTCCATCAATATCACCACCACCTCCATCACCACCACTACCTCCATAACCATCACCACCAGCTCTTCCATCACCACCACCACCATCACCACCACCTCCATCACCACCACCACCATCACCGCCACCTCCATCAATACCACTACCTCCGTCACGATCACCACCATCACCATCACTACCACCACCACTTCCATCATCACCACCATCACCCTCACCACCCCCTCCATCAACATCCCCACCACCTCCATCACCACCACTACCTCCATCACCAGCACCTCCATCAACATCCCCACCACCTCCATCACAACTACCTCCATCACCACCACCTCCATCAACATCACCACCACCTCCATCAACATCACTACCACCTCCATCACCACCATTACCTCCATCACCATCACCACCACCACTAGCTCTTCCATCACCACCATCACTTCCATCACCACCATGTCCATCACCACCACCACTTCTATCATCACAACCACCACCACCACCACCTCCATCAACACCATCACCACCATCACCGTCACCACCACCTATTCCATCACCACCACCACCATCACCACCATCACTTCCATCACCACCACCTCTTCCATCACCACCACCACCTTCACCAACAACACTTCCACCATCACCACATCCACCATCACCATTACCATCATCACCACCAATAAGCAGGGCAGCATGTATC